TGAGCTGCACTAAACTACATTTTAGCATTTAAAATATTTAGCCATTCTTTTAAGGTTATTTTGGTAAAGTAACTCAAAAGTAGGCTAATGTAAAAGTAGTGTAAGTCATTACATTTCAGAGACAGTAATATTGTAATGTAACGTAGCCTATTACTTAAAAAAGACAGTAATAAGTAATGTACTGTATTACATTTTGGAAGTAACTTGCCCAACACTGCAGATGATCCAGTCATCTCGATTCTGCTTTCGGGCTGTGAATAAACAACTTGTGTTTTACTTTTAGGCTGTCTGAAGGTATCGACAGCTATCAAAGCTACTATATATCACATTAAGAACGATGTACAAATGTTTTATATGTATTCAACTTGTGCCCCGCTGGACTTACGTTTCTGTGGTTTGACCGTTACTGTGACATATCAGTATAGCCACGGAAGATAGTTTGTGTGTTTCATTCCCATGCATCAAGGTTATTTTCATGTAGCCTATGTAATTGTTTTTCCTGCACAGTGTAGAGTCTTGTTGTGATGAGAGGGATACAGGTATTTCATTAAAAAAACGTGCTCCCTGGAGAATAGGTACAGCATTGATATCACAATTTAATCGGAGCTGATCACAACTTGTCATGAGTGATCCAGTCATGTCGATGAGCATTCGGGCTGTGAATAAACAACTTGTGTTTTACTTTTAGGCTGTCTGAAGGTATGGACAGCTATCAAAGCTACTATAGATCACATTAAGAACGATGTACAAATGAAAGTCGGACACAAATATATAATTTAAATGATTTATTCAAGTTTGCAATATTTTGAACAGGCATCCACACAGTCACCTACTTTGTAATGTTCGATACCTCCCTGTAAGCGTCACGATATCCACCTCTGACCCACAACCTCACATACGAGTACTGAATGTGCATCAAAGTGATCTTAGGAAGGCAGATATAGCAAAAGATGAACGTAAACGACAAACGAGGCGATCGACATGGTAAGTCAACAATGGGTCCTCAATGTACACGCCCCGGATTCCTATGACGAAAATAATAGAATATCGCCAGTTGTCATGACTCAAGTTATACTGCAACACCGGGTCTGATTATACCTCATCAGGAGCAGTCTTTCAAAACGTTTATCTGAGAGTCTGTTTCTTGCCGCTCCGCTCCCCCTATCCATCGAACTTTAAATTTCGGCAACGTCAAGGCAGCCAATAAAGCTTCACTGCTCTCCAACACCGGTGCGAATCGCGTCTTGATAGCCTAGGACAAAATTATATAGAAGAAATAAGCCTAGTTTTCAGACACACGACTCACTAGAGCTCTATCAGGGGAGGCATAATGCATTTATTTTAAGAATATTTATTAAGAAATGTCCGTTAATGGATAGGCATATACATACATGATGTATATGCCTAGGCTACTAACTTTCAGATAGGCTATTAAGAATCGGCTTACCTGTAATTACACCCGGTAGGTTTGCTGTCATCCTCGACAGTCCATTTTGGAGAGCCAGTGTCCTGGACATCAGGGTCTCCAGGGTTGGTAGAAGACTACCATAGTAGCAGTTGTCTTCCCCTTGCAATATATCCAGTGCTACTGTCAGGGGTTTCAAAACACTGCAGTATTCCTTTAGGAATAGATGTTCGCGCTCTGTCGGGGCTCTGATGTCCAGTCTAGTACAAAGCGTATTCAAATCTTGGGCCGGGATGTCACTGATGCGGGACAGGGCATCGTGGAAGGAATTCCACCTTGTTGATGTAGGCACAATCATTTCAAGAGAAAACTGTCCTTCTGTGGTCCCAAGCAACTCTTCCACATCTGTGAAAACTACACCTTGCTCGTCGTTATCCTCCTCCTCGTTAGGCTCAGGGGGTGCATACATCTTGAAAGCTTTAACAAAATTAGACCCGTTGTCTGTAACGGTGGCGGTGATCCTATGTGAAAGGCCAAATGCTGAGTGAATCTGTTCCATTTCAAAGCCTATAACATCATATGTATGCCTCCCCTTTATTCTTTTGCATGCGATGGCAGCTTTCTCACGTTTAAAGTTGCATGGATTGATCCAGTGCACAGTGATTCCCAAAAAGCTTCTGTTATGACTTCTCCATATATCCGCAGTGGTTGACAGATACGGCAAACTCTCAAACGTTTTCTTTAATTCACTCTCCATTTTCAGATAGCATTCATCCAGATAGCCAGTGAACGTTTTACGATCTGACCATGGGCGCCTGTCTCCTGTTATCGGTATATTGCTAAATATCTTTCTGAAAGTGGGAGATTCAACAGTATTGATGGGCAACATTTCTTCGACGATGAACGAAGCTACAAGTTTGTCCAACTCTTGTTTAGATAGGAGAAACTGAAGTTTTAGCTGCTTTGGGCTTTGACTCGAAATATCATTTCCCCGGGGATCTTGAGCTACTAGCTTCATGCTAGCATGTTTTCCTTTCAAATGCTTGGTGAGGTTGGCAGTTGAGTTAACGGCAGTGGACAAAAGTTTCTGGCCAGGGCACAACGTACACCTTACACTCACATTTTTCCCCTTAGTTTCAACAAGTTTGAAGTAATGGGAATACCTCCATCCCTCGAATGTTAGCGTTGGCTGCGCCTGCTTCTCGCTTGCCATCACTGCTCTTCAGTCTTCATGCCACCACCAGCGGCCAGCCTCTATCACGTACAGTGTGGAATGAGAGCTCGTGCCTAATGCGTAAGCACGCAGCTGAGTAGGCAGTGTCACTGTCACTCGTCCCTGGGAAAAGTAACGTTGCGGCGAATTGAAGAAGAAACTACGTTACCAAATGTTCCGTAGTAGAGCGTTACACTACTTTTTACCCGGAAAAAGTTGTTACGTTACACCCAACACCCAACACTGTTGTTGAGTAAATAACAGTGTGTGGTTTAGAAAATAATACAAAATTAGAAGGAAAAAACGATGAAACAATACAGATTTCAGTTTTCTGAGCCCTACTCTCCCCAAAACTGACGGCAACAAAAGTCCTACATTATTCAATTAAAATAAAGAAGTAAAAACAATAAGTGTGGCTTGATATTGAGTAAGAAAAAGATTGATACACGCTGTGAGAATAGATCTGCGGAGAGCATTTCGCCGCGACCCCAACTGGTCTATTACCAACCATCAGGGAGCTCTATGCAAGTCAATGGGACTTGCTGTTAGTTGAAACTCGACGCTAAAGGCCCCCCCCTTGCGTTGGAAAGTGACGACAGGGACCCTGACATAACGTCAACATAGGCCGAGTTGGGAGTGAGAATGTGTTGATTTTGGAAGTAACATGGTCTATGTTTACATTAGCAAGCATCGCTAACATTCAGAGCTAACAATGTACTGGAGAGAGTATGTGAAAAGAAGCAGGAAATAAAAAGGTACTCACCTTGGAGTAAACCCATGACAGAAAAAGCATTTGTGCTCCATACTGTTTCAGAAATAATCCTTGATGTGGTTTGGAACATAATACGGCGTTTAATCACGGCAGCATTTAGCTGAGTATCTGGGTAGAATTCTCCTGCATGAGCTCTCGCCTCGGCTCTCGTTTTTCGCGTTGTTTTTTTAAAGCTACGGACCCAGAATCTGCACTTCTCTAACAGGGCTGCAATAGAGGGGTATGAGGCATGACTAGAATGGGTGATCTGTTTGGTATTTTGAGCAAAACATTTCATAGACATGTTTTTTTATATATCCGAGACCTATAATATATGCCTGAAAATAGTATAATAGGAGACCTTTAAATAAAGGATCTGAATACTATTTCCACCACTGATCCGCCCTACAGTCCAAGATTTGGATCCGCTCCAGTGGCCCTTGCTTCACCTTTCCACTAACTTTCCCGAGCAAGCTAGTAATTGTCAAATCAAATCCGTTTTTTTTATATACATTTATATAGGAGGGGAGGCGTGTGGTGCAGTGGGTTGTGAGTTGGTATTCGGATCAGGAGGTCACAGGTTCAAACCCCACTGCAGTCAGCATGTCGTTGTGTCCCTGGGCAAGACACTTCACCCCAAATTGCTCCTGTGGGGATTGCCCACAGTATTGAGTATGTAAGTCGCTTTGGATAAAAGCGTCTAACAAGTAACATGTAATGTAATGTAATATAGCCCAATTTCACATTTCTCTTAGGAGGCTTTACCGAGTACAGCATATGTCACCTTCTGTCTTTAGCCAAGGAAAAACTGCCAAATAAAAACAGGGAAAAAACTGTTAGAAACCCTGGATAAGCATCAGAGAAGGGATCTGCAGTGGCCACAACGGTGGCAAACATCTCCATGAGGCCAAAGCGCTGCAAATCAAAAAACATGAATGTGCTGAAACCTCCACCGATTTGACAACACATGCGCAGCATTTAGAAAAACGTTCACCAACTTGACAAAACATATTCAGCAAAGCAAAAAGGCAGCATAAACGAAATGCTGAAACTACAAAAAGTTGACAAACTGTCACTGTAAGCCTGTTTCATAATTGTAAGTGTTTTGTCAGTATATTTGGATTAGCTTCTTTAGCTATCTAGCAAGCTTACAATAGATCTATAATAATAAACAGCAGGAATCATGGCATTTCATTGTTAAAATGAGCCAATAAAACGTACATTTTAGGTACATTTCCAGGGACAGTTGGCCAACTTTATAATCCCTGAACGTCAACAAGCGTTCCGGTCCAGCTGTGTGCGTCACTTTGTTGTGTCCCTGTTTCTGTTGTGGTTTCAGCTTTTTGCAGCTTTTTTTTTTTTCCAGCGTTCCAACTGCAGCGTGTCTCTCCTAATGTAGCAAGGTTGCACATGTCGGCCACCGTAGGGACGCCTCTCCCAGGACAGACAGACGTGCAGTTGTTATATATATAAAGAAAAAGAAGATGGAACTTATGGATGTCCAAAATCCCCCTGGTTTTCCTGTAATCCTGCTGACAACAGAACACATATCCTTCTTGGTGGTAGTTATAAAGCAATGGGAAGGGTTTATGCTAAATACAATACTGGCTTACAAAAACAGACCACCCAAATGGATGTTGCAGCAAAGGCAAATGTGTTTATTAGAAATATTTTCCATACATTAATGATAGTACAACAGAAAATGACAAGCCCCTCTGTTAAAAGTTTGGGTGGCCACGATGAAAAACATTTCTGTTTGTTGGCTAAAAACTTTAAGGGCAAACTGCAAGTTCGAGACGAGGAAGCACTTAGACTGTTGTGGTCATGATTGAGGAAAATTACATCTACTCAAATAATTTCCAGACATAATACACTCAAAGGTAGATTTAATTAGCGGCAGAAATCGATGTTATTAAAAACTGGACATAAACAGAATTAGTATCTATACAAGTGCACCTGTCTCTACTCTGGTGTATTGAATTACATGAGAGGGACATTATTAGAGAATGAATTATCTGTCCATCTATCTTACGCTCCAGTTATATTGGCAGGGCTGCTGGCTAATCCCCCGCTCGGTCAGGGAGGTCACTAGAAGGGAAAGTGGTTCTGCCCTGTGATGAGAAGCTTTACGGACCTTTAACATCGATCTGAAACGCGTCAGACTTGCTGTTAAATTCTTCGTGGGTTAACTCAGTGATCAGAGGTGTGGTGACGCGGCTCTCCTCTACAGTTTGGCTTTGGCTGGCTGCAGCTGCAGGCTCTGGAGCTTCATGGCCATGCCCATGTTCCCTGTGATCTTCAGCTTGCCCTGGAAAAACGCCTGTGAATTAGAGAAGGGGGGAAAAACGTCACAAATCTGAATCAGGAGTGCTGTTCGGCCTGTGCGGGAGAGAACTACATGCTGCTAGATTCACGAGTTACCGTGAGAGATTAACTTCACCCAGGGAAAGTGGGGCAATGGCAACAACAGCTTATGAAATGTCAGGAGTGCGTGGCACAGAGTCAGAGGAGGGAGTGTTTGTGGAGTGGAGTGACGGAGGAAACAATTTGACAGAGGTGGGAGAAGTATACAGATCATGTACTTCAGTAAAAGTAGAAGTATCACAGTGTGGGAATACTCTGTTACAAGTAAAAGCCCTGCAATCAAAATGTTACTCAAGTAAAAGTACAAAAGTATTAGAATCTGAATATACTTATGGCGCATTTCCACTACAGCGCGGAGCTCGCTTTAAGCGTGCCGAGCCGTGCGGGGCCGTTTTTGGTTGCGTTTCCACTTGGCGTAGTACTATTTCACAGTTTTTCTGGCCCCATAAAATCGAGGTTCTTTCCAGGCCAACAACCAGGCTGAGTCGGGCTGAGCATGCTAAACTATAGAGAGAATCGCTGCCAAGGGAGCTACAACTACAACAAGATGAACACATTTGACCGTGATTTAATTGTAATACACGTTTCAAAATGATGCCGAAGTAACAACAAACTGATACCGGTTAGTAAAAACCATGAATTAATGCTTTGACAAGTCTGCAGGCGAAAACCTTTTAAAATGCGTGTTTTCTAAATGGAGATTGGCTAAGCTAACGCAGTATATGCTCCGACCGTCCACACTCACAACAACGGCCTATACAGACATAAATAAACCAGCGACTGTATTCGCCATGACACAGACAGTCTGTGGTTTGTACTTGTTTAACTTTTGTCAAGTTTCTGAACAGATATGAAGAGCTGTGAGCTCTGAGGGCTGACAGCTAACGGCTGTGTTGTTTTTCTGGGGCTCTCATTGAAGATGACGTCACGGCTCCCGCCTACACTATACTTACTATAGATACTGCCCATACTGCCCCAGCTACTAAACTGTAATGGGAATGCGCCATAAAGTGAGCCAGTCCTAACAAGGCCTAACGAGGCCTAGCCATACCGAGCGAGGCCATGTAGTGGAAATGCGCCATTAGAGTACTCATTATGCAGAATGGCCCATTTCACAATCATATATATTATATGTTTTGATTATAATTATTGATGTATTTATATTTATAATATATAAGGTGGAACTAATTTTATTTACTTAATATACTGCTTGGTAGCTTTTGAATGTTACTCCAGATGTTACTAATGTCGTATTAGATTTGATCATATTGTTTATCATTAATCTGCAAAGTAACTAAAGGTACTAGAGAAATGTAGTGGAGTAAAAGTACAATATTTACCTCTGAATTGTAGCAGAGTAGAAGTTCAAAGTAACATAAAATGGAAATACTCAAGTAAAGTACCTCAAAATTGTACTGTAATTGAGTAAATGTACACCACTGCAATTGAACACTCCGAGTGAGCAGAGAAATACTAACCCTTGCCCCTCATAGGAACATTGATCAATGTTCAGTTACTTTGATGGTGTTAATGCATATCACATACATTCTAGCAAAGGTGTGCTTTTACTGCTATTTTGAAAATAAGTCTATAATACAGAGTAGCAAAAATGCAGACACCAGAAAGACCACTTAAGGCAGGAATCCTCAAAGTCCGGACTCCGGTCCGGATCCGGACCGAACCACAACTGTCTCTGGACTCTGAGCAAATTATACTTTTCATATGTATGATCTGTATTATCTGTGTTATCTGCGAGACATCGCCACAACGCAACGAGTCAAAATTCTCCGCTATGTCCACTGCAAACAGCGCTCTGTATGTCCGACTGTTCCACTGTCTGTGTGTGTCTGTCAACGCATTGGTCCAATCACATTCAGCATCCCGTCAGCGTTTTTTCCCCCCCTGGGACTCCCAGCAGCTGTTACTGAAGCCTTCCGAGTAAATCGCCAGAACGCCGATACCTCCTCATCACTCCACCGCTCCCATGTTTTTTTTGTGTTGCCATAAGTTATTCTCTCTCCGTTGGTGCGTGGGGCTAATGCTAATAATACTAATGCCAGCAAATACAATGGCGGCTGCACAAAACTTTTCAGAGTTTTACGGGGTGTGGTTTGCAATTCGCCCAGCTAATCGAAATTGTACTTTTTTCTCCCCAGGAGAGTACCACCTCTCTAGCAGGCACTAAAAATGGGGGTAAAAGTTCTCCGAACTAAGTACTCTTTTTGGTGTGAACGCAACATAAGGGGTACTAACGGAACTAAGCGGGAAAAGTACGGGGAAAAGTACTCCGGTGTGAATGCGCCAATTGAAATATGGCCCACAAATTAAACTTGTGCATGTCTTATATTGCACTTCTTAAACATATATGTGTTAATAAGCCCACATTTTCTAACAAATCTAAGTTTGAAAAGTAGTGAATTACATTGTTGAAGGCTTGGACGCAAAGAGCTACTGTGCTGCCCTTTTTATAGACTTATCCAAGGCATTTGATACTGTGGACCATAGCATTCTATGCCAGAAGTTATCTCATATAGGCCTGTCTGACCTGTCTGGCTGTTGATTGGTTTGCAAACTATCTTTCAAATCGCAAGCAATGTGTAAAATTCAGCGGTCTCTCCTCAAGCTTTCTTAATGTGCCCAGAGGCGGTCCTCAAGGTTCGGTCTTGGGACCGACCCTTTTTACTATTTATATAAATGATGTGGGTCAAAGTATGGATGCCTCTGTACATCTATATGCAGATGATACTGTTGTGTACTGTTGTGCTAGCACTGTTGCCACATTTGAACGTCTGCAGTCTGCTTTTGACACTTTTCAGTCACATCTGTTCCACCTTAGGTTGGTGTTAAATTCAGATAAGACAAAAGTCATGTTGTTTTCCAATAAGAAAAAGTTACCAACTGTTCTTCCCTGCATCATGTCTGCACAGCATAACCCCATTGAAGCTGTTAAAACCTACAGATACTTAGGCATCACTATAAATGAAAATCTCTGCTTTCAAACCACATATTGACAATCTCTTAAAGGTAGGGTAGGTAAGAATGGAGAAACCATCTCGAGTGCGCTAGAATTTGAAAGTACGCAGCCGAAAAAAATCTGCCCCTTCCTTCAGACTTCCTTACAGAGCCCCTCCTCCAACACACACCAACGCGCACATGACCAATGAGGGCACGAGATAAGTTAAGTTATATAAGGCCATCCAGTTATTTTAGCCGGGCCGGCTCAGATGATTGGTCGTGCTTTTTACAGCGCCACGGCTTCCACAGATGAAATATTTGTGTGTATTTATTGTCAAAGCCTTTAATGTATTCATTGCTGGGATGTGAAGAGCATTCCATGGAATATAACAAAAAGTGTTTCTGAAGTGAATTACCTACCCTACCTTTAAGGAAATTGAAATTAAAACTGGGATCCTTTTTTAGAAATAAGGCCTGCTTCTCCACAAGTGCGAGGAAACGGCTTGTAGCTGCCACATTTGTGCCGCTCTTGGACTACGGGGATGTTGTGTACATGAACGCCTCAGCTCACTCCCTTCATCTGCTGGACGCTGTCTACCATGGGGCTCTGAGGTTCATAACCAACTGTAAACCCCTCACACACCATTGCACACTGTACTCTTTAGTCAACTGGACATCATTATCAATGCGCAGATCACTGCACTGGTACAAACTCATCTATACCGCTATGCTTGGACTGCTGCCCCTCTACATATCCACTTACATATCACACAAACAGTACAGCTATAGACTACGATCTAAAAATTACATCACTCTGTCCGTCCCCTCAGTACGCAAGGTGCTTGGGAAAAAAGCCATATCATACTCTGCCCCCTCGACCTGGAACACACTTCAGCAGGAACTTAAGCTGACCAGTTTGATACCCATCACGGATTTTAAACTAATTTTAGACGGCCTCCGTGGGCGAGGCGGGCAAAGCCGGCGAGTCGAGCGGGAGGACGTTAGTGTCCACGACAGTGGCCGCGGGTAAAGTAATGTCCCCATGATCTGAACTGTTATTACCTGCAGTAGATGCAGTGTTTCTGCTGGCGATAAAGGCTGGTTGTTTTAACCATTTTCTGAGTTCCATCATTGACTGCTGTGTAAGCACCTTGCAGATGACGAACGCGCAGGGGCACAGGTCACGCGCACCTGACATAATAAGGTTATTTACCGTTTAAATTGACCAAATAAATGCAGCAGACAATGTTATTTAACCACAATTACAATTTATTTTATTTCAACTATATTATTATTATTATTATTATTACTACCATTATTATTATTATATATGTAATATTTTTCACTTTTAATGAAAACAATTTTTTTCACTTTTAATTCTTTTTTTCACTTTTAATTTTTCAAATGAGGGTGCATAACGACTCAATTGAGGGTGCAATGCACCCTTATGCACCCCCGTAGAACCGGGCCTGGTTTAGTGTCCTGTCTGTCTGTAACTTTGTGTGGTAGTGTTACCACTGAACAGGTCTCTCTTGAAAATGAGACCTTGTGTCTCAATGAGATTTTACACCTGTATAAATAAAGGCTACATTTAAAAATAAAAATAAAAAGTTGATAAGAAAAAAGCTCAATAATTTATTTACATAACATATATTTCATATTTCCTCTTATTATAAGCAATCTGAAGCTTCTGTTTTAAGGAATGAGCTACCAACTAAATAAATGAAACCCTAAGGAGAGCTGTGATGTAACCTATTTTTTTCTTTGTTTGATTTGTTAGAAAATGTGTGCTTATTAACACGTATATACATATATATATTCAAGAAGTACAATTTGGCCCGGGGCCGTAGTTTGGACTCTCAACACCTTCCAACTTCCCCTACCATTTCTGGCTCTCAACCAATGGTCTGAAAAGGCTAAAATCCCAAAGTTCCCTCCAGAGGGAGTTTCTATCCCATACATTCCCCTCCTTAAATGTCCCAATTTGATTTGTTTCCTTCTGGTACATAGTGACATCACTATGTAACGATTGCGCTTCTATTGGCTAGCGCACCAACACATTGTACATCTTAGGCTGGAATTCCACCTAAGAGGCGGGACATTTCAAAGCAGTTGACCAATCACAACAGAGCCGGCCAGCTAACCAATCAGAGCAGACTGGGCTCTGGTTTCAGACAGAGGGTGAAAAGAGGTGCTGCAGCACAGGCAGTGTGAGAAAAATTAAGAGCTTTCTGATCATTAAAGCACGGAGACATGACCCAGTAGAGACACACAATACAAATATGAACCTGAAAATTAGCATACCATTTCCTCTTTAATTAAATTCATTATTGCTGTTGGTTTTTCATGGGATTTGCGGACAGGCTTTTCCTTTAAGGACTACCGTTTCTACTAACATGTAAGAGAACTTTTGATGCGGAAACATCTGCTATTTGTTCTCTTTAAATCCTACTTTGAAGTTAGGCATGAAATAAAACTCTGTCATTAAATTGTCAGGTCTATTCGCCTACAAAGTTCTCTGGCAGTGAATTTGCACAATCAGCCAATAATGACACAGCTCAGTGTTTCCTCTTAATTTCACCAAGGCGCTAGCAGAATGTCCTGACAGAACTACATCCAACTGGCAAACTGTTTCACATGTTATGCAATGCAGGAAAAAAGTCTGCACACAGCTCAATTACTCCAAACACTAATAATATACTGATGTAATATAAAATAATATAAACGTCAGGAGTCAATAGCAATTGAGTTTTTATATTGTTGTATAAAATAAAACTCTTCCTTCATCTCTTTTGTTGAGTAAATAGGTTAAGTTGAGGTAAATGTATTTAGTTTATCTGTAGAAGATAGTATGTTTTCTAATAAAGTTAATTTGTAAATGGAAAACTGTGCACAAAACTGTGCACATGAGAGTATAGATGGATATATAAAGACCTCTTTACATCTTGGTTAATAATCAATACTGAATGTTAGAAATTAGGCTGCAGATGTACAAAGTCTCTTTTCACCCTCTGTCTGAAACCAGAGCCCAGTCTGCTCTGATTGGTTAGCTGTTCGGCTCTGTTGTGATTGGTCAACCGCTTAGAGATGTCCCGCCCTTTAGCCTATCACGTACAATGGGAAGGACCGAGTTTCATTGCAATATCACTATGTTACTGAAGTAAATAAACGATTCCAATGGAGGCGTTTCAGGCAGAGTGTGTGGGAGAGAAACTCCCTCTGGAGAAAACGCAGGGATTTCAGCCATTGCAGACCATTTATATGCAGAAAAAACCTATATAAAAGGAAAGGGAAAACCCCAAAAGCATGATAGGCCATCATTTTTTTACTGAAAAATAAGGTGTAATTTTCCTTAATTTTCTGTTAATGAGGTCAATAAATCCCAAAAAGGGCAGTGTGGGGGAAACTTATGTGTAGCAATGCAGGAGGAGTCACCGATTCAAAGGAGACACGGGGAGAGCTGGAGCTTTGATGGCAAACACTGACGGTGTATTTGGAGCTTCGGTCGGAGAATTCACAAGACATGTCACGGGCCACGGACTGACCACACGGTTGAGATGCCACAATCAATTCTGAAGAACTCTTCTGTAGCTCGAGGTTTTAACTAGTTCGGAGTGTAATAACCAACATTCTTTATCAGCGAGACTAAACTAATATGGACCCTGAATCCAACTAGAGCTGTCGTCCATAGAAAATAATGTGCGCCAGGGAACCTACGTTCCAGAGAAAAGAAGGGCTTCTAGATGTCCCTGAACAATAAACTATCTCATGTCAGCTTGTGCTCGGTCATAAGCTGGCAACAACAATGCGCCCAAGCTGCCCCTCCTTAAGAGAGATAGCAGCAATCTCTGCTGTGTGTGTGTGTGTGTGTGTGTGTGTGTGTGTGTGTGTGTGTGTGTGTGTGTGTGTGTGTGTGTGTGTGTGTGTGTGTGTGTGTGTGTGTGTGTGTGTTGTGTGTTGTGTGTTGACTGAAAAGGTGAATCACAGATTTGGGTGATTTAAAAACAGTCAAAACCCCAAAAATCCTAATAGGGCCCCTTTAATAAATGAAATACTGACGTGATAATACAAAAAATAAATTGTACAAGTGTGTGCCTTATCTGATAATCTGAACGATCAATACTATATACAAAAGAGTTTACTCAATACTCACAGTCTGAGGGTTCATCTTCCCCGTCATAAGGGACAACAGGTCTGTGTCTGACATGGAGATGGTGCAATCTGCTTTCTTAGCTGCAGGCAGAAACACATGTAAAAGTTAAAACACACACACACACACACACACACACACACACACACACACACACACACACACACACACACACACACACACACACACACACACACACACACACACACACACACACACACACACACACACACACACACACACACACGACCTTGAACTTTAGACTGGAATTCCACCTATTGTTGAATATTAACATGATTACATGTCAGTGTCAAGGCAGGGCAAGGCAAGGCAAGTTTATTTATATAGCACCTTTCAACATAAGGCAATTCAAAGTGCTTTACAAAAATGAAAGACATTAAGAAAATGGTATTTAAAAACGTCAGAGAGCCCTGATAGTGTTTTCCTACCTGTGTCGTTGTGGACGCAGCCTCTGCCGTTCTTCACGTCCACATACCAAACGGCCTCCTGACCATTGGGGCCGTCTTTTACCTTGAAGGCAAACACCCCCCCGATCTTCTTCACAAACTGCTCCCCTTCCTTATAAAAGAGAGTGAACAGACAGGCATTTGTAACAAGACAGGGGATCTTTAAATCAGCAGTCTACACAGATGATGTGTTTTAAGCTGAACAAATATTGTGTATATTTAGGATACTTAACAGCTGAATATGTATCACATAATAAAAGGTAGGGATATGACCCAAAATCTGCCTAAAGAACTGAGAATCCGAAAAATCCACTTTCCAACATTGACCTATGGGAATACAAAATGCAACAACATATTCTCACCACATGTATTTGCACTGCATCTAAAAAATGTGTCTGATCATTAGCCTGAGATATTAAACTCTAAACTAAAATCCATTCAGCTCTCAGGTTGCCTTTTCCTCATTGATGATGACACTTTATTACAGAAATAGCACCGCCATAGGACTCACGATGATTCTTGTATGATTGAGGTTGCAGAAAGTCAACTGCCTAAAAACAAAGACTCTTGAAAGAAAAGCATTGAGTCAAAATAACCTTGAATTTGTGTCTGCTTGTGTCTCCAAAATAGACATAAGGCGCAGAGCTGGAAACAATGTATATGACTTGGTGCAATGTATATGTGGTGGGCAACAAATTAAAGCAAACCTAGAGAGTGTCGGAGAACACATACCAAGGGATACAAATATAAAGCCACACAAGTCTGCCACAACTAACAACATTGTCTCCTATTTTACCTCCTGGAGCTTCTTGTTGATTTCCTGGAACACCACATGTGCCTTGAAGCCCTCCAGTCCGTCACTGGCACTGGTGTAAATGGCTTGAATCCTTGACAGAGACAAAAGGAAAGAAAGTCATAGGGTTAGCAACAAAAGAAAGTGATGAAACAACGGTAGAGAAATAAGGTTGAGGAAGACAACAAATGTTCACTGATATTTTTTAATACAGTCTTGTATTCTTAATAACTGTGTCTAGTCTTTGAATCACTTTAAAAACACATTTTTATAATAGTTTTTATGTAATGTTATCACTGTGCTATCATTTAATTTTCTTTAACTCTCTCTGTTTAAGTTCCTAGTTTGTAGTTCATTTAATTCGCTGTGTTTACTCAACCTTTTCAGTTTACATTAACGTTACTTTTGTTTGGAAAGGTGCTCTATTATATATTATATAAATAAAGTGTGTAATTATGTTTAGTGTTATTATTATATTTGTACCCAATCTGGTATATTTATTGCAGGGATCTCAGTGTGTGTTCACCTTTTTCAATGTCAAATTATGAGGTGTTATATCATGTCATCAACTCTGAGGTGACACACAAGTCCAGTCAATTATCACTTTCACAAAATGGATTACGGAGCATTAATAATGTCGCCTCCACAAAACAGCCACATCCTGCTAGCCATGGATGTATAAGGAGAACTGCTGCTAACCCAGGATGACACTATGTTAGCACCTGTTAGCTTGCTGAGGAGAAGCTATCACCGGACAACAAAGTAGCCGAAACCCGACTGTCACTGTGCTTTCATTCCACAAACTGCTATCGAGGAGGATATAATATCAGTATATTTCCGAGAATGTACGCACAGTTTTACGTGATTTAAAAAAAGGTTACATCGTTAGCTTATATGCTAGGTACTTTGTAACCAACGGCTAGCTATGCAGTAATACATCACAGTGCTAGAGTTCATTGACTTCATAGCTAATTCCTATGATGTTAACCGAGGACAACAAAGGTGACCTCAATAAGTGAGGGGTCACTTAACGTGTCAAAATGATATCCTACAATATTTAGTACTCTTACCTTCTTGTCTGTATTTCAGGCATTTTGCTATAACGTTAGGGAGACACACAGAGCCGCAGGAACGACAGCTAGCTTGCACTTTGCCTGTCTAGAGTGCAAACTACACTTCCGTGTTTCTTCCTCCTGTCACCGATCTTCAGACTCGATAAGTCGATGTCAGATAGATCAGTGAGTGTGGTACATTTTTTTTTTAAAACTCTAAATGTGATGTGATTAAAGCTGGAGTACTTCTCTGAAGGACAAAGCCTTGAACTTGTTGATAAACTACTTGATTTTGTTGAGCAGAAACGTTATTCATAAGTGCAAGTGTTTAAAGGTTAAGCCTCATGTCAACAGATGGGAGACTGAAAACAAAATCTCCGCAATATCACCTCAACACATGAAGGACAATAACAACCTGAAAACGGCTTTCAATATTGGATGTATTAATCTTGCTTGAAAGGACCCTCTCCTTTTGTTGAATCAAACATTTATTATTTGAAGTATTGTTTTAATTTGATTCGTACTGTATCAACACCATTTCACTTTCTGGACCACATAATTGTGCCTTTAAGGTTTCTAACTGAATCCTGTAATAAAAACATAGTTTGAAATACATTGCTTTTTACATTATATTACGCACTAGTGGCCTTCTCAGTTAAAGTGTTTTATTTTATTTTTTAAATATAGGATTAGCATTGTTTTGCATTTGTAGCCATGCCACTTGAACTTACTTTCATAGCATAGACAACTAACATTTCTGCAAACCCTGCTGCTCTCTTTTTGTTGGATCTGTGGATGTTTCTAATCCTCACAAGAAGCAATTGGTTTCCATTCTCCTTTGGTATGTAATGGAGATCAATAAGACAAACTCTTGAAACTCTCTTGAGTTGTGCAATCCAGTGATTCTCAACATGGGGCCTCTCTGCAGAGGGTCCGTGAAGAGTTTTAAGATTTTCATGAACATTACATTTTTTACTAAATGCTTCATAGTTCAACAACTAAATTATGGACATTTTCAAATCTCAAATAGTTCATAGATCATTGTTCACTTTCAAATCTAACAAAATGGTATATTTTTTAATAACATTACCAGAATCTGTATACATTATTTGGCCTTTGTTTTCACTGGTAGGATAGGTACTGATGTAATTCCTGTGGTTATTTCAAAGCCATATAGATTCATCAGAGTTCTTGTAAATATATAAAAATAACTTCCTTCCTATGCACTGCAGTGTATGGCTGTGCGATTATGGCAAAAATCATAATCACGATTATTTGGGTCAATAATTGATATCGCGATTATTTTTGACGATTATTCATTGACCATTTATTGAACTTTAAAACAAATAATATTTTACCAATAAACAAGATCAACAAATATGTTGGAGCGCACTTCCAAAACCATATATTATTAATATGATAAATAAAAATAAATTAGACCAAAATAAATTAAATCAAATATGATGCAGTGCACTGTCACAACCTACTGAAAACTCCTTAACATATAGCCAACATTTTGGTAAAACATATTCAACATATTCCACTCAGTTAAACGTTGAAGGCTAGCCAACCGTCATGGTCCAGAAGTAACAGGAAATAAATGTTGAACTACAATTTAAGACCAAATAAAAATGTTTAGGCCACCATGACAAATGCTGGTAGGGCTGCTCATCTCATCTCTTAAAGATTTTTTGCAAGAAACACCAGCCTGTTTACATGGTCTGGTTTCAGAGATGAGTGCAGGCAGGTGACGATATAGAGAGGCGAAGTCCCTCCCCTTCCGAAAGCCTCCATGGGACCCCGGAAGCGGAAACTTATACATTGAAGTCAATGGAGAGAGAAAGGTTATCTTTTGATCCCGTTTGAATTGTGCCACGAATGACACATATGATGTTTGTCAATTTAAAAGAACATTTTGCAAGTCAAAAAAATAAAAATGTGTCGTAAAACTGTGAAGTTACACATTTTTTCGTGTGAAACCGCTCAGTGAACTACAGGTCTCTCGTCTCGCACAATACGCGTCACCAACATAAAGATGGCCGTCACGTTAGCACATTTTACCACATTTTTTCAGAATGAGAATAAAAGTATTTTACGAGGTGAAAATCACTACAAGTCTGGGCACGTTGAGAGCTGTACCTATATGAAAGGGGAGTTAGTCGGTTCTGTAAGAGCCAGCATGCGGGACCGGCTTTACAAGGTTTCGGTGAGTAATATGAGTGCAATGTGTAACGTTAATGTCAGCTAGCTAACATTAGCTAACAAGGTACACTAACGTGTTTTGTTTTAGCAACTAGTTTTCTCCTTAAGAACTTCGTGGTCTCTGTATGCTGTGGATAACATTAGTGTTCACAAGAACAAGGTACACTCCCGTGTTTTGTTTTAGTTGCTCTTCAGATTGAAGCGGCCAGTTTTATATCGACTATACTGTATGTGTGATCTCCTTTTTCTCGTTGTGTCATTTGAGTTTATTTGCTGTGTGTCGATTCAAGGATTTTGGTTATCTAGTCACAGCTGTGTGTGACTCCCTCTGGTACACCGGTATGTGTTTTCCTAATGTAGAGAGCATTGATTAATTAATAAACTACACACTGAGTCTAGATCCTGACCAAATCCTTTTTTATTGTTGATCAAATGTTTTTCAAAACTGTATTCATACACATTTAGAAAAATACAATGTACAATCACAACCAATACAACACAAATTACAAAAAATACAGAAAAAACAAACAATAACAACAGACAAGAGGACAAAACTATGGAAAAATAAACCCTCCCACCCCCAGATCCGGACCATCCTTGTATTATTGCTCATTCAATCTATTATAGCATGCTAACAAATGGTACTTACTTTATTTTTACAGATCTGCATGGGAGACGATGGCACGATGCAGAGCGCTGTCTGTGATTGTGCACAGGAGATGTACAAATGCAGCCACGCTGCAGCATTGGCAATATTTGCCATGTGGCAGATCAGCTCCACAGATGTTGAGTGCCAGTGGAGGAAGCCTGGCACTTCCAAAGTAGTCCAGCCGGTGTCTCAACTTTACCAACAGCGAGAGGAGACATACAACCCACTGGCCAGAGACATCGCCAACTGTCAACTGGGGGGTTGTAAACGAGGCCGAAGGGGTGAAGGCTTTTGTGGAGGCCTATCAAGTGACAGTGTTCGAATCGAGTCTGGTCTCTTTGTGAGTGAGTCGGGTGTTCTGGGAGCATCACCCGATGGACTTGTGCAGCCATCTGCCCTGCTGGAGGTGAAGTGTCCACACAGCCAGAGGAACATGACCATCATGGAGGCAGTCCAGTTACCATCCTTCTGTCTCCGTGAGGGTGGGTCATATATTCTCAAGGAGAATCACCCATACTGGCACCAGGTCCAAGGGCAGCTGCACATCACAGACCGGAGTCTCTGCTACTTTGTTGTGTGGACCACGAAGGAGGCGATCATCATCCCCATCCCCAAAGACCCTGCATGGCATGGAAATCTCCTCCTCCTGGAACAATTCTACACCCAGCATATGCTCCCTGTGTTGGCCAGTAGAGAGGAGGACATTTCAATAAACATACTCTTAACACCCTCGGACTCTGCGTTGTGTTTCGTATGTGTGATGGGGTGTTATGCAGAGGGGAGGAAAACAGGACACAGCAGATTGGGATTGTGGTGGAGATGCTGAGCAGTTATTTAATTGTTGCATGTAATTATTATTATACTGCGTGCTTCTTAGTTATTCCATCTTTTGCTGTAACATGGATCTGTATGTAACTCTATATTTACTTGTTATCTAACACACTTCCTTCTACATCATACACCATCATTATACATGATGGTGTATATAGGATATATATATTTGTATACATATCTGTAAATTGTATAATTTTATTTAAACGTCTTTTTGATCTCTCAAACTGAGTAAGATTGACAATAAAGTTGACTTTGAAAAATATATATATTCTTTATGAAAATAGTTGACTGTTGTCAAATGAATCCAAATGAAACGTTGGACTGAACTACAACTACGCCTTTAAATCTCTACGGACTGTTTTTCAGTGGGATGGCAAGTTCCTATCTTTAAACATTTATTAGTTTTTTCTCAGAACAGATTGGATTTTCTGAAGTTAATTTAACTTTGCCGACCATGTAAGGTCATCATTAAAAGGTACAATCAATTTGTTTAGGGTTGACTAAAATAATGAAAAACATTCATTTGGATAATTTACTGACAGAATAAGAAACTCAATGATGCTCTACTCACCTGTTCCCTTTTTATAAAGTGAAACAGTTGAAACGATAGATTTTAGTAAACTTAAAAACAACCTTCTCCAAAAGCTATCAAGGAATATACCGAATACTTGTTTTAGAACTTTATTACATATTTTTATATAAATAGTTTGAATGATCCATAATTGACAGAAGCTTGTGTTTACACTGACCTGTTACTCATATATTAATGTCTTTGTAACTTCAGTAAACCACTACCTCACTAATTTCTTTCATTCATCACGGTTCAGTAAACTAAGTGATACATGAACCAGTTTAATCATTATAATAACGTAGGATTGCAACTCTTTGAAAATGTATGTGGCTCTTAAAAGAGCTGTTGTGTTTGGGTGTGCTGGTCTCAGGTCAGTCTAAGCCCTCTCTCCGCGGATGCGGCGGGCCAGCTGGATGTCCTTGGGCATGATGGGGACCCTCTTTGCTTGGTTCATCTTACTGGGGGGCAGCTACATGGATGTCGGTGCAGTCCACAATCATTGCGCAGTTGAAGGCAGAATTAATTTATTATTGACTCCGAATGAAGCACAACTTCATGTCATACAATGCAATGACTTTATTTGTAATTGTGTAAAAAAATATGAGCATTGATTAGCAAGCAGGACCTGCAGGAACAGAGAATGGTGATGGAGCTGGGAAGAGAGAAGAATAAAGAAAACAGATCAACTTTATTATCGGATATTAAAAATTCAATTTCAAAACAAGTTGCCGCTCCTACAGTTTTCTAGTATGTAAAGATGATTTCACATGACCTATGCAAAATATCACACTCAATACATGTGTGTCTCTGGGGGGTGCATTGTGCCTTTGATGTATATAAATAATATACCATAACCAAATACTATTACGTACAGTGGAAATCAGGTTGCCAGAGCA